GTATCCATGCATGCATCCATCAAAACGATTGACAACATCCGAATAAAATACCGCAGAATATGATTTCAGAGATGCTAATAAAAAGTATGAGAATACCGTATGGGGTCAAATATGCTCCAATGCATTATTTCGATGCTTGATTAGGGCTGTGTTGAAAATGCTTCAATAATATGAAATTCGTCATTATCACTGTCTAATTAAAATCTCTTCAGCAAAAAAATATCAACCTCTTCTGTGATTTTCCTTCCAAAGTAGACCGCATTCGGTTAGATTCTACCAGTCTCACAAACGCACTGATCTAAAAACTTTATATTATAAATACTGATATAAATACAATCAAACCATCGAATTTCATAAGTTGATTTCAGTAAGCAAATCAACTTATGAAATTTTGAGCAAATTTGAATAAACCTTAGAAGAGATTCAGATTGATCGAATGGTGCACAAAAATTCACATGTTACTGGGCAAACCTGATAATGCGGTAGCTTTGAAGGTGGCATGGAGATAGCATTAATAAAATGTCTATATCTCCTTAACTAAGCCAAATTGCTCACATCAGTAAAATTTATAATATTCTGAATGTAGAGATTCCACTGGATCGAACGGTGAAAAGAAATTCACATGTTTCCTGCCAAACTTGAAAAGACGGTTAGCTCGAAGATCGCAAGTCGCCTATTGTTATATGAACGTATCGGATCTATTGTGATCAATTTGTATGAATGAGCGCGACTGCGCCTATCTATTTGAGATAGGTCTAAGAAAAGGGCTATATCTCCTCAACTAAGCAAAGTCACCCGACAAAATATATATTTATCTGAATGCAGAGATTCTGCTCGATCGACTGGTGTTAAGAAATTGATATGTTACTGGTCAAAGCTGAGAGTACGGTAGGTTTGAATGTGCTAACCCCTATAGCATCAGAAAAATAGCTATACCTCCTCGCAGAGGCGGAATTTTGCGGTGAGTTTTTCAATTGTAGAAAGCAGAGACTCTACTCAATCGGATGATGTACAGACATCAATATGTTTCCGGGCAAACTTGAGAAGACGGTAGGCTTGAATGTATCAAACCTATATTTTTACAGTAATCTATAATATCTATTGACCTATAGTGATCAAATGCACATCTATGAGCACCATTGCACTAGTTGCGATAGCTTTAATAAAACAGCTATATCTCTTTAAGTAAGCAAAATCGCTCGGCAACATTTATACATTTCTGAACGCAAAGAATCTGGGGAATCTGATGTCGTGAAGAAATCGCTGCACTCTAATGCCACTATAGTAATCAGTAGTTATGTATTGCATTCAGTCTTGATTTCAGTTTTTTTTTTCCATTTCAGTTTTTTTCAGTTTTTTTTCACTTTTCCGCTTGTTTGGCTCCAAATTGCAGTTTTAATAACTAAGGTCATATCGTTCAAAATTAGGGTAATGAAGCTCTTGGGGTTGATATTTCCAGACAATAACCATTCCCGGACTTGACGGACGTCGTAGAATTATCCGAACGTCACAAAATAATTTACTAATGACTTCATAATTTAGAAACGTATATCCCCAGTATGATGTTGCAGGTGTTTCAGAGTCAATGCGTGATCAAGTAGACGCATGTTCATATCTGAGAACACAACATCTTTCGTGATATGCGTAAAGCAAACAAGGAAAAAGGATCGGATTCAGCAGATCTTCATCCTTCATAATCTGTATGTTTCCTTAGTCTCCGCAAAACCTCTCATTCAAGACGATGTCCAACGGATGGCTTAAGTTACTCGAATTTCCAGACGGCTATTCAGGATCTCTGATTAAAAACTGAACGCAGAAATAAGTGTCGTCCAGAAACTGATTCTAAATCCTTACTCACCTCTTAATGTTTTAATAAGAAAGGAACTGGGAGCTAATTTGTAGGTTTGATCCTGTCGAATAAACTATTATTTACTGGTTTATTACTTATCAATTCAGTTCATTTACACAAATCACAGATGCTACATTCGGCACCAAAATAACGCAATTTCATGTTGTGATACGTGTTTAGCAATTGATATCAGCAGAATATTTATTTACCTCTTCATTCCATATTATACAATACAATCAGCATGACCATTTTTTAAAAAATACAAGTAATGTGAGTATCTGAAACACAATCAAGTTCACTGAACTGAACCGTCCGTCAGTCAACAATCAAAAATTAAACAGATCAATTCTCGACTCAAACAAAGCCCTCATACATCCAGTTTCTGCAGTATATCCGCCTGCTAACCTCGTCGAACTCACCGATCGAATATGTTGTAAATAACCCATTTGTGAGAGCACTTCAGCGTCGGGTAGTGGAGGTCCGTTTAGGGGCAATTCAGGTGCATGATATACAAACGGCGCACCGGTGATATTCAACGAGACGAATGAAGCAGTTTGTTTCTGAGATTCTGAAATGGTGCGCTTGTTCAGTATTGATGAAATCATTGTCACTAACTTCATCACAAATATCATTATCTCATATAATCACTAAGTTGCTGAATTGTACTATCATACTAACAATTCACTGTTGAAGTCACTGTAATACTAACCGAATTTCTTCTTCTTCATACGTGCTGTTTCTTCCTTCTCAGCCAGTTCGGCCTCAATAAGTTTCTTCCGTTGTCGATCCAAAATCACTTCTGCCGGCAAATCGGAATCTTTCAGCTCGTTGATTATTGCTCTCGCGCTTGTTCCAGTTGCAGCTTTTTGCGTTGCTGTCTTAATGAGAACATCTCAGCTATGTTCGAATTCTTCCAAATTCGTCACCATATCATTATTATTATCACTATTACTACTCACACCACCAAAATGTTTCATATCGTATCATCTTAAGGTTAACCCAATCAAATTAACAGCTGTGATCTGAACTCGTTTGAATTTCCATCTGATGCAGTAGATTGATACAAAAAAAATGAAAGCAGTATGTACTTCTCCAATCAGTACAAAAAAATCAACACAGAAGAAGTATAATCGAAGAAACGAAAAACTGTTTCTATTTATCTATCGATTACCTCAGCACGGAAACGTTCCACGGTTCGTTGCTTTGATAAACGTTCTTCGTCTAACATTTGCCGAATCCAGAGCTGATCTTCATCTAACTGAAATAAGATCAGAAGCCATATTCAGATCTTTTCAAATCTGTCTTGAATCCATTCGAATCGACTGACCGAGATTTCTGTTACATAAAAACTTCTTGAATTTTCAGAGGACCTGTCACCCACAAAAATATTTCCGGCATACGTTAAGCATCCCAAATGTTAACTGTGAATCCCAAATAGAGAGGCTCGGCAAGTTCGCTCATCGAATCTTAATTATGCGAACAAAAAGCGAAATAATTTCCTTCTCGAATGGAAAATAATCGCTCTCAAATGTTTCATTTCCGGCAAATGTACAAAGAAAAGACCAACTTTCTTCTTATTTCTTTCCAGCAACTCGGCATTTTCACTTTTAAATCGACTGATTTCTGCTTCCGTTTCTTCAACGTCAATATCGTGTGCCAGATTCATTACCATGGTCTCAATGCGTTCCAAATAATCGTTATACTCACGTAAACTTGGAAAATTCTCTCGTTTCAAATTGTATATCTAAAATTTTTTTTTGCACACAGTTTAGGAATGAAAAATGAAAGTTCAACTGGAACGATGAATGTGTTTCGATGAAATAAATGCGAAAAATTGTTCAGCACTTACCTTCTTCAGTCTACGTCTAATACTATTTTCTTTCTCAATGACTGGATCGTCGAAAATTTGCTCCCAAAATCCCTTCTTCCATAGAATTTTTCCACACTGCGGACATGGTCCACTGTTCCGTGCAAATAAACTTTCGACACAATTTCTGAAACACAAATTTCATGATGGATAACCAATCCGACGACTGATTTGAACAGTCGAAAACATCTGTTCAAAATGAACTTCATCATGGATTCCTGATCGAAAATCCATCCTCCTTTTTCAATTTTGAATATCCCTCAGGCACGAAGCAATCATTTCTTCAACGGTCGGATAACAATCACAACAAAACCGTTCAAAAATAATCGCCAAAGTTAGAGGAAATGCCTGAATCAATACGATACGGTCTGATAAATCGGATCATCTGAATGTATAAATTCAATTGACAAGACGGAAAGGCTCGAGAACGGGAAAACTCAGAGATGAATGAATGATGACCTGCACAATGGATGTCCGCAATCGTTTATCATCATAACCATGGAACGGTTTGTGTACTCTTTGGTACGACATTTCGGACATTCCCTCATTTCTTCACGAAACTGCTCGGGATCCCCGATGAAATTCAATGAAAAATACCTATATATAGACAGATAACTACTGTTTGGTAGATAACAGTGCTTCTGTTAAATGTCCTTGCAATTCAAATTACTTCCTAATCACAAGCATTTTGCCAAACAAACGTTCACATCGCCACACTATCAAACACATTCATGCGATATGTTTGCAGGAGTTCAGAAGTTTCGATTCTGCTCACTGGGAATAAAGGTCAATCTCTTAAGGATATTATTCATTGCATCCCCTGAACAAAATTTGAACAATCTGACAACGTTGAATAACCAACAAATCTTCATCAACGAGTACCTTCCGTCATTGTAGTGTTCATATGTATTAACAGAGGACTACGATACCAAAACCTCTGATATTCTACGAGAGAACCAAGTTCACGGCTACTCGTGGAATATTTTCTGATAATTGTGTGTGCATTACTCTTTATCATTCCACATGCATATCTCTCAAAATCTTCGCTTCATAAGCTAAATTAAGTTACTGTGTGGAAACCTCATAGAAACCTGATAAATCCATTCATTCATCATGCACTATGCACCATACAAGTTTGCAATAAATAAATACAAATGTTGACAGCATTCTCATTTGGAAGTCACCCATTTTAAAAAAATCGAATGATTTCGCGTTATGAATGTTTATGAGCAAAATACAATTGTTATACGTAACATACAACAACATACATCATTTATATTACATAACATCCAACAAAAAACAATCTCAATCACAAAACAAATGCTGCTTGATTACGAACATGAAAACGATTGATGCATGCGTAGAAGAAAGGTAGAAACAACGACACGTTTAGCAACGAAAACAACGAAAATCTCCGCGGGAGATATCTTGCTCCCACACACGATTGTTCGAGATGAAATTACACGTAGAGGAAAGGGAACACATCCTGATGTGTGACAGAAACGATTAAATACATTGCTAATGATAAAGTTGCCAATGAATTATCGGCAATTTTTACCATAAGTCTAACACAGTGAGAGCAAGAAAGTATTGAAACAAATCATATTATCGCGAGACAAAAGTCAAATCAAAGATGGAGTAGCGAGAGTTATCACCACAGCACAAATACATTTGAAACACAATGAAATTTTTCGCTCGAGTGGATGAAATTCATTGAAAACAACAAAAAAAAAACCACGAAATCTAATCTAATTTACAAATGTGAAATTACTGTACAAGAGAATTCATTCAGCGAATGCCCCAATGCACTACTCACTGGGCTTTGTCTAAAATTAAACAAAGAAATACGACTGAATATAATGAGTTAGGGCAAACCTACTGTCGTTTTCGGTGTTGTCCAAAACTTCCTCAGTTAATCTTCATACATGTCGGATTCAAACTGGTCAGATTCTTAAATGATTTCAAATTGCACCTTTCACATCAAATAGCTAGCAAAGTTGACAGTTCTACGTCAATCGAATACAACAAGCACAGAAATTCATTACAGTTGAGTTATTCGAATGGGATTCTTGTTGTTATTGCTGTTCGGTGGATTGGTACAGGACGATGAAGACAGGTCCGCGATTAGATCAGTCGATTCTGATGAGGGTGTCTGACCCGTACGAGTTACACTACTATCACTTTGCTGCTGTTGTTGTTGTTGCTGTTTTGGGAAATGCGGTTTTTTGAGCGGTTGTAAGCTGGCTGGTGATCTCTTGCGATCGCCTCTCGACTAAAATTCACTGAATTTAACCAAACCAATCAACTCGTTTAAAAAACAAACATTCAAATGAATCAAGTAATGTTCTTCAGTCGCTCCTTGACTTGATAATATGACTGTTTCCACACATCGAAGCAGTTACATTCTAACATACCACAACGCTATTTTCAGTACGAATACACCTGTGACGTGAGTTAACCTGCGATCACAAAACACCAAAATGAAATGCAGCAAGCAAAACGAGTGCGTTAACCGAATAAAATTAAGTCAATAACTGAATCAACCTCGAAATAGATCAGTAAGACATATGAATCTGAGTGAATAACAAGTGAACGTACAACCAACCCTTCCTTTATACCCGCTTGAAGTGCATGGCTGTTGGTCTTCGCCGTCATCATCACACTCACTATCGTTATAAGCACTATTTTGGTTCTCTTTCCTCGGATCGCTTGCCCGATTTTTCGTTTTCTTCACCGACGGTTGTCGATGCCGGTTCAACATATGTGTCATATCGGTTACGTTCGATGCACAATGCATTTCACCCGATTCGTCCAGCACATATTCAGGCAGTGAATAATACGAGGACGATCTCGACAGTGCGCCCTCCATTTCGTCAAGTTCCTCAACTGGTCCCAACACAGCTGCTTCAGATTGCTAAAAAAAACCATCGATCATCGACCCACAAAAAATCATAAAAGAAATCACAGAATGACGACTGATCATCAACACGAAGTAAAGTCCTCTCGATAAGATATACCAACTAAAATTTAATACGTTAACTTGCTATTACCACCACCATTACTACTCTGTGAAAGCTTATTGCCCAACTGAATAACTAAAAATGCACACATGGATGGAACAAACCTGTTTCAGACAAGCCACTGCCGATGGGTCATCACTACCGAACTTCTCCAGCAACGAGTTCACGTAGTGTTGCTTCACCTTGTATTGACGCATCAGTTTCAAGCGTTGTTGCAACGAGAATGTTCGAATACGATTCATTTGCCGTTCGTAACTCTCCCATAATTGATCCACATGTTTCGAGCCATAGTCGCGCAATCGACACATCTTCAACGGAACGTAAATTTTTTCATTACATTCAGAAAAAAATTCTGTTCTCATCCATTTTCAAAGAATGTTTCTTACTACTTACTGTCGAACACACAATCTCACGTTTCACAGCAACTCACCCAAATAAATCAACAACTGAAACGCTGCTGCAATGAGTACTATTCACGACCCAATAATAGAATTACTCATACCTGTTGATAATAATTATCTCGAATACTATCCAGATGTTGTCCCATTGTTTCCATCTGTGCAGCACGATAGTGACGGAAACGTCCCACTTGGCTTGCATAAGAGGATCGTAATTGTTCAACCTAACAAAATAAAACAGTTAATGAGCGCCGGAACACAGGAAATACGCGATTCGCATATGAAACCAATCAATTTCGATACCACTTTAAAAGCAATGTCGAATGAGCAATAAATACCACAAAATAATCGTCGATTAATCGTCAACTTCTAACCTGCTGATGGTAATTCTCTCGAACATGTTCAATTCGTGTACGATAAGTCTCGTGCAAACTCATCATTTGCCGTTGACGATACTTCTCGACCGCTTCCACCATACTTCGAACACGCGATAAACGTTCTCAAAAACAACACCAATTCATTCCGTTTCTATTCTATACAGCAACTTGGCCATTTAGCACGCATTATGCATTCAGAAGCTGATAGCAGCGGACAGCAGAAGAAACAACAGAAAAATGGCGCAAATGGAAAGCAAACTGCTAGGGAGTACCTGTTCTTCGGAGCCACCACAGACCCGTTTTACGGCACATAATCCACAAAATGTTCAGCACGAACGATGTCGCACACAACAACAACGATGCCACAACTGAGCCCCAGAACACCGAATCGAACAGCTCGAGACTGTACCAGAATGAATAGTCCAAACGGAAACGTACAATCGTCGATGCGTTACCCTTGAAGTCAAATTTCATGAACTCAGACGGCTCACAATTGAAGTTAGAATCAAATCAGAAAAGAACACACGACACTCACCATTTCGTTCAAGGCAACGCAACGATATCGTTCAACCAATTTCCGGCTTGCATTCGATATGAGCAGATTTCCACCTTTCAGTATACGATAAGAATTGTTCCGAGACCACTCCATTGCAATACGCTTGCTGATCGGATCATATGAGCCAATCAGCAGTTCTGGTCTCACCAACCACCATTCAATTTTGGGTTGAGGCACTCCATACGCGTCACATTTCAGAATCGCCGATTTCCCATATCGTGTACGAACAATATTTTTGCTACCGTTCACCCATCGTAACGGTTCTGCTGCAAAACAAAAAACTCCACACCTACACATTCACATTTCTTTTCATTTCCGGAGAAAATATTCAATGCAATGCCGTCACTTTCATCAGTTTAGCGACTATCACTGTTCACATCATTACAACAACCCTCATCAAGCACACTTATCACTAGCATTGAAACTTACCAATACCAATCGAACAATCTGGCTGCACAGCATAAGAATCATTATCAGCACAGTTCAACTGTGATTTCTGCATCAGAGCCGATACGGGATCAAACCATTCCATTAAACACTCGTCACAATTCCATTCGTTCGGCATCAATTTCAGCTCAACTAAATTTACCGCCCTGAAACAAACCCAAAAATTTCGTGTAGTCGTTTACAAGGGATGATACCACGGCAGATGAGAATGGCTAACGAACGAATAACGGACTTAACATGATTTCCAAACAGAACTATTTTGAAAGGAACGACCTGCTGAAAAATGCTTTCGGTAAATAGCTGACCAATGAACTGTTAAGACGGAAAGACTGCATGCTGGGCGGTAGAACACCAATTACACTACTTAACCAGTGACTGTCCGAAAGATCCATCTGAAAATATTGATGGCTCTTCAAGTGTTTTACAGATCAGTATATTCCACGAATATTAGAAATTTAAACAATGACAATAATAGAAGCACAAACAGAAGTGCAATATGCTAGTCACAACAACAAAAACAATCATTATATCAGTAGTTGTGTCAGAATCACCTGTTGTAATGAAGGAACATTTAGCAAATCAAAATCCAACACTTCCAAAGGAGTGTTACGCACAGATAAATTCTTCAGCCGTGGACATCTGCTCACTATCAACTCAGATATTCCACATCCATCTAAATTCAGATCTTCGAGTCTGTTCATCGACAAATTTGGAATCTTCTTCAGTGAACGATTCGACGAGATATTCAGCGATTTCAACGAAGATGCCCATGTTCGTGGATCATCAATTTCGCATAGTTGATTTCCGGACAGATCAAGCACTGCTACATTTGAATGATGAATATTAAACGAAGATATCTGAAATAAAACGGATCCTCATCATGAATATATCGCCCGGATACACCATCAAATTATAAACAGAGGACAACTAGGACGATAACACATCCTGTGAGCCGTTCCAGCCCCATGAACCATCGTCAATCTGCACATTTCAAGGACTGTAAGCGCAGATAGTCTCCAAAAATAATCACCTTCTTAGAAGAGCAATTGTGTGTTGCATAAAATTGGAATGCATATTGAGTGTGGATTGAGTACCTGGTTATGTGAAAGATTCAGATGCCGTAATGATGACGGAAAGCATGACGTATCGTTCAAGAAAAACGTTGATATACGATTAAACGACAAATTCAGTGAAACAATTGATGGAATATATCGCAGCAGATCACAGAGAATATTCACTGATTTGTCATTTAAACCATTATGAGGTAGTTCCAAATGTTTCAAGTCGAATAAAATATCTTCACTTTTCACATCGATAACACCGCATCGAATCACAGATACACGTTCTAGATGAACGGCATTCGAGAAAACGCTTAAATTGAGTATTTCCTGAAATGAACAATCCCATTAGAATCGAACGAATAGCGTCCAATATGAATATTCCTATGAATTATTTTCTATAGTAATTGAGAATCGCGTAACTGAAATTTAGCTGACGACAGAGAACGATCGCAAATGAGGAAATTTTGGAATGCATTAGGAGCCTTCAAACAATGAAAATGAGGAAGAAAAGTCGTCTACTTGACTCCTGTTCCATAGTCATTCCCATTGTTTTCTCTCCCATAAATTCCCGAACTCATTCTGCCAAAACTGTAAATTTCCAAGGATTTTCAAGTCACAAAACGTAAACCAGTCACATCACCAATAATACATCTCTAAAAGGTTAATCAAGTCGAGCTGAAAACCGAATACCTCATTACAGTCCTCAAATGTGATCGATTTGCCTTGCGGATAAACATCAAACAGAGACTGATTAAGATTGGATGGTTCAACATTTCGGCATTCTATCCGCAGATTTCCACACGTGCATCCGTACTGCTCACACGGGTCAAGTGCAAATTGGGCAACTTTGCCCGTTGCCGTTTCCAAAAAATCGTCGTCGACATTCGATGATTCGACATTGCCATCGATTTCACACCTCGTCAATTGTAAACAAATCCACAAACAAATCAACGACGAAGTGATGCCACACTGTCGCATTTCAAAGCGCAATCACCGTCATTCAGATACTCAAATCCTTCAATCAAATATCAATCATTTACACAAAATTCATCAGCACATTTCTCATTCATTCCATCCTTCTTGAGCATATAACCAACAACAACACTGCATTACACAATCAATGCGATAAAAATTCAAATCGATTCCACCTAGAATAAATTAGCTTCATCACAAATGTTTGACAATAAACTGAAATAAAAACGCAACAAAAATTTGTTGCACGTAAAAGTGATGAGCTTAATGCTGGAATTCACGTGTTATTCCTTCGTTTCTCAAGAATGTCGCGACACTTCGCCAAACATGCCTTATGCCACATAAAGATTGCTGCTGTTAGCATGTCATGAGCAGTGGTTGGAAGAAATCGCGAGTTATCGGATTTTTAATCTATCCGAATCAAGGGATTTATGCCGTCATAAGTTACGGGATTATGGACTTTGACGAGAAACTCATGTTGAATTGCACATCAACCATTTCCGTTTCATTGACATTCTGATATATTCATTGCTTACTGTCCAAATGGCAATAAACAGATAAATCATTGCATAATACAGCATCACCTTACAATTGGTTTCCTTTCTCACAATCAGCAAACACTGAATAAGAGTCACATTTTTGAAAGCTGAGATCCTCCTCTACTTGATGATTCCAAAAAATGGTCATGTTATTGGACAAAGCTGAGGAATTAGGTACCATGAATATTGTACTCCATATTTTCAAAGTGC